CACTCTAATTCTGTGATTATCCACAAACTGATTCTTAAAAGACCTAGCAAGCCAAAGAAAATACATGAGAAATTATTAGTCAGACCTTTCTTTTAGCAGCTGGATATTTTTCAAAATGCAAATGTTTCTGGGAAGTAGAACCAATTGTTTCCCCTCAAGGTATATTTGGGGAGTCATTGAGAAGGCAGGGGGTTGCCCATAGGGAGGTGCAAGATATCTGGCTGTCATAACAGCAAAATGCTACCACTTCCTTGAAGTAAAAATAGTTAAGGGTTTTGTTTTGTTTTGGTGTTTTTTTGTTTGTTTTGTTTGTTTGTTTTTTATTCTAAGCACCAAATGGATTTCAGTATTTAGCATCACTAGCTAGGGCTCAAAATCATTACAATTCCCTGGGACAGCTCTGTTCCACCTTCTCACGCAGCACTACAATACATTCAAATCATGCCTCTTTTCACTAACTCACAGCACTCTCCAATACTGGAAATAGTGTCCTATATAAAACCTGTATCACTAGATTTCCTCATTCGTGTTCTCCAACTAGGAGGGCTGAGGAAATCTAGACCATTTCTAGCAGCAGTCGCCCTTTTCTACCCTGCACCACGTGAGAGGGCTGCTACTGTGGGACACCAGCATTTCCAAACAGCCAGGCTTTCATATAAGGCATAAAAGATAAATTCATTTCCCCATTCTCTTTTCCCTTGCACAGATAATCCTGAAAGTTCAAGCTATGTGCTAATGCTTTGAGAGTGCTGTGTTTGTTTCTGTGGCAGTGAACCCCGTGTGTGCACACTCTTCTCCGGCCAACCTTTGCCTCCCAGGGAGCCCATGATGTCAGTTCTGTCACTCCCTGCTGGTTTCCAGATCAGCTGTCCTGAGCCAAGGCTTCCCCTTGGCTGTCACTGATTACCCAGACCTGTCACATGAAGCCTCTCCAGCCAACTGAGTCACTCAGCTGATAAGCTGACCACGTAGCTTCTCATGTGGGGGCTCTCACGGTGTGAAAGGCAATGTTAGTGAAAAACTCAGTCCAACACAAATGTAAGTATGTGAGTGACACAAAGCACATGAGTATTTTTGCTTGCTGCCACTGGCCTAATTACTTACTTCAGGGTATGACAAGTTTAACTGTTTTGCTTAATCACAGCTCAAGCAGATACTTGAGAACAAGAAATCTTTGGCTTGATGTACTGATTATTTTAAGGCTGCTTGGACAGCTGACTTCCCTGCTTTAAGTGATCTGTTAAAAGTCTGAATTGCCTCTTACTGGTGTCTTAATACTTTACAGGCTCACCCTCCCCAGGCCTCCTAACCTAAATGGGGTATCTCAATGTGGGTGTGAAAAAAGAAGTACCACGCTACAGAACCCACTGGACTAACCACTGATGCTCTGGCTGCTTACAGGATCAGGGGAATGGACCAGGTTGTCCCAAGTCAATCCCTTCTTTTCAGTTTTCCCTGCAACTGAGTCTGAATGTGTGCACACACACACGAGAGGTGGTGCAGCAGCACTTCTTCTTGCAAATGTCTCTCTCTCCACAGATGTGGAGCTCAGCTGCTTGCACAACCCAGTGCTCAGCTCCCCAACCCTTCACTGCTCCTGAGGACAACAGGGAGTATTTGTTTGCCCTTCAGCATCTTAAGTGCAACTGGCCAGACCCATTAGGGTAAACCAGCTTGTGCCTGGCAAAGCCTGCATTTCAGTGTCCTAACTGTGATCAAACATGGACAAACAAGGCACAGTTACACAGAAATGCTAAGTTTTACCCCTTCTGCTCAACAAGAAGGTGGACCAAAGCTCAGACAGACTGAGCAAGTCACCAACCATAATGAACAGGCTGTGTGTTAAGCGGGTCTCACAAGTAGCACCCAAGCACTGTGATGAGTGAGCTGTCTTTCCCTTATTACAATGAGAGGTGAAATTCAGAGGTGGTACAGCACTTCCCTCTGAGTGTTCAAAACCCTGCAGCAGGCCTACTTGGCCCACACTTACAGCACAGAGAAATAAAAGGAGCTAGGGGAATAAAAGTGCCCTAAGACCACTGTAAATCTTTACTTCATGGAAAATCTTATCTTGCACATGAATATGAGCTGCGAGTAAATTTAATGTGCGGATTAAGGATCGTGAGGTCTCCCTCATGGTGGGCTTTTCAGCCTAAAAAGAACAAAAGAATAATAATGAGTATTGTGTTTGGATATGATTACAAACAGCTGTAATTTACAGCTGGACATTCTCTACTGCAAATGGATCCAGCAAGCAACTGCTTCTGAATTAGTGGAACAGACTGCAAAAAATTAGCTTTTAACATCAGCCTTAAGGTCAGAGTTCTGGGACCATGGGAGTCAATAATAAAATCCATTTAGCTCAGCGGGATTAAGCAGGTTTAAGACCTGGCTTAACCACCCTGCTTACTGTTATGTAACAACAGAGCACACTGAATATTTTAGTTACAGAAATTTTTCTTAATTTGAAAGCTATTCAGGCAGTGGATGTGTGAGTCAGACAACTGAAGATACACTAGCACTATACCATTAAGGTGTATGAGTTAAGTTCTTGCTCTTCTCTGTCCCAGAAACTGAGCTATCTGCATAGCTGGACCACTTTCCTGAAGAGCACAATAAAATTAAAACCAAGTTGTGCTGTATAAACACTGAGGGTTTTTCATGAGAGAATGAAAAGCTAATGGGGCCAGTGCATCTTTCCCGACAAAACAGTCAGTGCTTGTGCAGAGCAACCTGTCTTCTGGAAGCAGAAAAGCTGTTTCAGTCAGGCTTCTGGGTCACCAATCTTTGTGTTTGCACATAAATCTGCTGGGGGTTACTGTGTCATTCTGAAAACAAGACTGAATGCAATACACTACAGAAATCAATAGCTACAGGTTTAAAAACTCTTTTTTTTTTCTTTTTTTTTTTTTTTTTTCATCCCCCCACCTTCCTCCTTTCAGTTTAGCTGTTACTCTTTTAACAGAAGCTGAAAGCAAAAACTGCAACAAGAACTACTGAAGATTATTAAAAAAAAAAAAAAAAGGCAAAATAACTGAGAGCTTTATTTAAGCTGCTGTCTCCCTTGATGCTGGGAAGTGCTGGTGCGTGACCGGGAGCTCTTAGTTGCTACTGGGACACAAGTAACAAGCAGCAATATCACAGGCATCCTCACTTTAGCCAAGACCAGACAGAAACTGCCATCACAGCATGGGTTTTTGGCCCCCTGCCCTCACGTTTGCTCACTGTAGTGAGGCTACGGGTGGCAGGGTGCCCTGACAGTCAAACATTTGCAGGGCAGGTGGAAAGCTATAGTCTCCAGGCATGCTTTGGGGGCAGATCTGAGCACAAATACTAACTCTGAGGTATGATGGGCAGCATCTCAGCCCTTTTGCCTTGAGGGCAAGGGCAGGCTGCGCCCAGCTCCCTCACCACCCTGGATGAGGCACAGACCATCTATCCATCACCACTTCTCTTTCTAGGGAAGGCAGAAAGCTCACTGCAGGGTTTGGGGCTTGTTAACCACCACCGAGGGCACTTCTGCTGAAATGTTCCTCATTCAGCCCCGGGGAAGGATGCTGAGAAAAAAACTCCATGTTTCCTTTGGTCACGGTGTTGCCCCCACAGAGTGCAAAAGCTGCTTTGCCTCGGGGGAGAGTCTGCACACCTCTGGGGAGAGGGGCATAATGCTGACTCTGAATCCTCTGGCTTTTTTGCGTTTGTCCCAGTTACAGAAAATACCCTACAACCATGCCAGTGATTTCACCCACATCCCATACATTTCACTTGGGAATTTTCTTCCTCAAAGGGGAGGGGGGAATTCTAAACAAAAAGGTGTTTGTAAACTTGGGGGGGGAAGGTCGATAATTTTGGCGGTCTTAGGCTCTGAGCAGAGAGAAATGTTATTCATCCATGCACAACATATAATTCAGGCTAAGTGACAGGCTCTGCTCTGGAGAAATCATGGCCTGAGCTGGCTTCCAGAGTCAATTACTGCTTATTCCCAGGGAGGCGGGGGGTGGGGGGCCAGACGGAGCAGAGGGGGCTGCCAACAAGGCATGGGGAAATTTACTCTGTGTCAGCCTGCATGACACAGTACCTCATTTGTGGATAAATGTAAATCTGCTAGTTCTTTTTCACAGGCACTAAAACGTACAGTTTCTCCTCCCCCTTCCCTTCCCCTGTTCCCAAAACTGGAAAAGAAATCAGGAACGTTTTAGAAAGCTACCTTATATTTCAATCAATCCCCTTTCATAAAAGTCATTTAAGGTAAATATCTGTGCAGACCTACAGCCCAACTATAACATTTACTGTGGCCCAAATCCTGAATTCCTCACTCGGGCAAGTTTCCCATTGAAGTTGATGGATTTTTTGCTTGAAAAAGAGCTGAGTAAAACCTGAACACTGTCTAAGGTTTTGGTTCCCTGCTTATCTGCCTGGAGCACTGCTGCAGTTCCAGAAGTGAAAAAATGAATTAAATTCCTCCAAAACACTAATCCTTTAAAACTTAAGGGGTAAAAAAAGGGATTGTTTTTATGCATAAAACATACAGAGAATCTCTAAGAAAAAAGTAATAAAAATAAAAAGTAATAGTAAGTAAGTAATATAAGTAATAAAAATAAGTAAAAAAGTAATTCCCAGGGAAAGGATTTGGAAAAAGTCAAAAGTGAACGTCTTGGAATAAATGAAGCACTTATTGCTGAAAAATGAGCTCGGATATGTCAGCAAACTCTAAAGCTCAGAATTTGCTGCATCATTCATGCCTTCTCCAGTAAGTTTCTTATCTCTTGTTTGGTATCACAACAAGGGATTCTGCATATTCTGGATGAAATACAACAAGACTGTGATTTTTGCAGTAATAAACTCCACACATGCATGACAAATCCAAGCATGCAAAATGTTTAACATTCCAGTTCACAGATACTTTGGGGACAAAATCCGATTATGAGTTATATGCCACAATAAATAGGGCTCAACGTTTCGTAAAGCAATTTATAGTTCATAAAAATGACAAAATGTACCTGTCAGATAGAACGCGGAGAGCAGATCTCTGTGCTGCCTGCTGGAAGAAAGGGCAGAGATGTTTATTTTATATTCTGACTTGAAAATTACGAGCACAATCAACACTTTAAAAAATGCGCTACACACATTTTTGTCACGTGTCCAAAATGTTAAAGTACGAGCAAAGTAGCAGAGAGTCTATAGTCAAATGGACATTCCAGCCTAGCAAATGTAAGAACACTTTGTTAAGTAAGCCATAAACCAGAAGATTGTCAAAGCACCACACGGTATTTGAGGTCTGAACTACTCTATTTAGGCGATTTTTTTCTGCGGGTCCCTGAAAACTCAGCAGGGCTCATTTCTCTGCCTTCCCCTCTCCCCGTTTCCCCACTCCCACTCCCTCTCCTTTACCATTAGTCTCCTCCCATTCTTCCACAGAAACAAACATCACATATTTGGTTCCTTTTGCGATGAAGCCCGTAGCTATAATCATAAATTTTGCAAAGCTTGCCAGAGCTGCTGCAGACTTTTCGTGGGAGCTGCCATGTTAATCTGCTGGCATCTTTTGACTACACAGTAGAGGATTGACCTGTTGCTGCTTTGCTCCTCAGTTTTTGTCTAGTACAACTCTTTGTATGGGGTGGGGAAGCATGGTGCTTGTTCTTGTGTTAACCGGCAGTTCTGGGAATAGAAATCATACCCTCTCAAGTTTAATAGGACTCCCAAGCCTATCCCTGAGCTAGTTTGCCACTTTATTATTATTATTCTTTCCCCTCCTTCAATCATTTCAAGTGGTGTGATTCATGGCTTCGGCACAGTAACCAGCTGCTAAGCAAAGATTAAATCCATAATGTTTAGAAAATCTACCTTAAAGCCTCCATTATGCCCAGAGCATCCCCTCCCCAGCTGTACCTGTCCAGGCTGTGCCTCACCTGGCACAGAAGGGACACAAAGCTAAGCAGCAGTACAGAGAGTCAAGGGGCAAGGAATTAAACATTGATTTTCTCTCTGCATTTATCAGTAAATACTTTTTTGAAACCATTCTCCCTGGCTTCTCAGGCTGCTGGGGGCTGCATCCCTATTGCTAAACAAGCTGCACAGCTTGCAGGCATCCTGCTCAGCACCAGAAAGCATGGAGGTAGCCCTTCCGGCTAGTCAAAATGCTGCTGACAGGCTGCAAAGAAAAACTTGATAAAACCTGACTGGCGGTTGCAGTTATGGAGCATTTCACAGAAAGCTATAAAAAGATCCCTTGAGTGGATCCCTGCAGATCTCACAAGAGTGCAGAAATGCTTTGGGAAGAGTTTCTACTTGATTTTGGAAGCAGAAAGCAGAATTTTTGCTCTGTGAACTTCCTGGAATAACCTGTGCCTCTTGGATCCCCTGAGGAGCAGTAGTTTGCGATACGTCACACACCAAATTGTTGGAAGACAAGGTGGCATGACTTGCAAGGGGGCTTCTCCTTAGCGTTGACTTCTTGCAGCAGGCAGAGAACCCATGAGAAGGACTGGAAATGTCCCAGCAACTCAAGGGGAGTGTGCCCATGGCACAAACATGCTGCTTTTAGCGTTAGAAAAATAATATGCTGAGTCTGGTATTTTTTACTGTCTACAGGTCATTCTATTTGCAGGCGCTTTGGATACAACCCCATCCATGCCATCCAGGCCACTGGGTACAAGGCAGGTTTCAATGGGAGCAGCCACATTCCAGTCCATCCAGCTGGCACCATTTTTACTATCTCTTCTGCAAGGGGCTTATTCTGACATTTTCATCCCGCTTCTTGCACACAAATGCAGGAGAGACCCAAATCTTAGGTTTAATAATGTCTTATGGCTTAATCTCTTCCTTAATGCCTTGGGCCAATGCAGTTTCATCTCCTCCTACATTTAACCACCTTCATTGGCACAACGCTAAGTCCATTCTGAGCTTCCAGCTGCCCAGCTTCAAGGCTGAGGCCTATGCTGTGTTATGCCTTTGTCTGCAAAACTCGGGAACTTCCTTTCACTGTCAAAGCCTTTCTCCTCAGCCAAGTTGTGTAGGCACCATCCAGGTCACCCCTCCTTCTCTCCCACCAGCAGCCAGGTCTAGACTTTCCCTCACTAGCAGCCACTGCGTGGCAGTGCTGTTTAAGCTGCTTCTAATATTTCCCACTCTTGGGTCAGGCCATCACAGGTGCTCATGTGGGTGTGCAATGCAACAGGTTGAAAAACTGATCCAGCTGAAAAATAACTTCTTTGTCTTTTTCTTTTTCCCTGGGTTAATTGCAACCTGGATCTCTTCTCTGAGCTGCTTCCCCAGGGAGAGGGTTGCACAGCACAGGATGCAGGGTCAGAATGGGAAAGGGAGGGAGAGGGCAGCATGCGAGGGGACCTTTGCTACTGAAACAAAGGCATGTCCACCAACAAGGTTGCTTTCACCTGGCACAGCTCTCTGGGGAGCTGCAGAGCTCTCCTGGAGCAAGGTACAGAATCACAAAATTGTCACAGTTGGAAAAGGCCTCTAAGATCACAGAGTCCAACCGTCCCCCCAGAAAAAAAACAACCAACACAAAACAACAAACACAAAACCAAAAAAAAGGACAACAAACCAAGCCAAAACCAACACACACAAAACCATAATCACACACCCCACAGAACCACCACCAACACATTAACGTGGTGCCAGCAATAGCCAGAGGGCACTGAAGGAGACAGGCTTTCTGTAACCACAGGTCTTGTAGACCTTACAGAGACCTCAAGAAAGCATGGACTTGGATGACACTAAAAGCCCCTAACATGGTGTGGGAAACTGTTCTTTTCTTCCCCACATAAGTCTAAACAAAATGCCTTTTTGTTTATGACACATGGGGAGGTGGGGTGTGTATCATTCTTGTATTTCCCTAAAATCCCAAATTTTGAGAGAGGGAGAAGAGCTGGATAGTTTCTCTTCCAGTCTTGATGAAAGCTACTCTCAGGAGGGAAGAGGAGACTCCTGATGGTTTGGCATGCTAACTGAGCCAGGCCATGTGGTGTTGGACTGCAGCCACAAGTTCCAATCTTCCACCTTGGTATGTCCAGTTGTCGACAGCTTTGAAAAGGTGATCCCTTCTGGGCAAGAAAGTGGGTTGAGATGACAGGCAGGGCAGCAGAGAGAAATGTACAAATGCTTTTCAGTGAGATCATTCTACTTTTTCAATTAACCTCTCATTTTGAGTCCTTTAATAAATGTCCTGCTTCACCAGGATGCAATGAAGATTGCATGGGGAAACTCAGTCTTTGCTTGGTGGTCACACATTCTGTAAATGAGACTAATTATTTCTTTTTTACACCATTTGAAAATACAACCATGTTTGATTGCATATTTATGTGACTCCCTGAGTTGGTAATGGCCCCATTTCTAAATGAGGGGGGAATAAGATCCAGTCTCAAGTTTACGCTTCCTCCCTGGAGAAACAGATCTATTGCCTGCAACAAAAGGCAGTTAGCAACTATCCAGCAATTTTAATTCTAGCCTATATTGCTCCCCTCTCCTGGAGAAAGTGAGCTGTTGTAATTAAAGGTAGTTACCAGTTCCCAAGCAAGTATAAATAGTTGCAGCCACTAATTACAGTCTGCTGTCTTGTTCCCCTGCTAGAGGACTGAGCTACTCAACTCTTGCTTCTTGCTAACAGGTTTTTTGTGACCCCATTCAAACTCACTCATGAATCTCCATGGTGGGTCATGAACCATACTTTGAGAAACTCCCAGCTACAGAAATGGCTTTCTGTGATTTATTATGTTTCTAATATGCTGGTTTTGTCTATGTGACAATGTAAGCAAAAGGTTGGTACTTAGTATCATATAGTGCCTGCATGACTATTTTTTTAACTGCTTGATTTTGATTGTGCTATTTAATTTGCGTTTTATTTTACATTGTTAACAACTTTACTGAGGCCTGCTCATCATCCATTAAGAAAGATGAGAATATGTTCTACAGTCTGTCTTATTCCTGGAAGTAAGTGACTCTGCTAGTTATAGAAATTTGGGATAAGAAATAATTTTGAAGTTTGATATTACTGACAGACTTTAAAGATCTCTAAAATTTACCACTAAAGGTGCTTTATGGGAAGCTTAATATTCTCTTGATAAGTGATTGAGTGTGTTCACCAGTAATGAATATAATAATGAATTTTCAGTTTTTGGACTCAGTGGTGTTACTGATGGAGGAAGGGTCTCCTCAGTATGAACACGGATATTGGAAACCAACTCACTGCATAATAATTTTAATGCTGAGTAGGAAACAAGGAAGGGGAAAAAATAATCACTTAGGTGAGTCAAGTACCTGGGGTAGAGAAACCATCCTCAGTAAATGAGATTAGTAACTCTGTTTCACTACATCAAGAGATGTAAATTACAGGATACTGGCTGGTTAGGCTTCTTTGACCCCCACCTAAGTTGGTCACAGATACATTTAGGGCAGAGTTTCATTGATCTGCCTATATTTTATTAATCATTCATGAAAGATTCTAGCTGTACCCCAAGACTACTTGGACAACAAAAGTTTTCAGCCAGCAGTTATGTTCAGGTTCTCAGTCTCCAGAGATTGCATCTCCTTTCTCCATCCTTTATTGCAATGAGCCGGAGCTTGGGAACATAATCAGCAGATATTCAGGTTTCAATGTTTGTTAAATGAGCTAACAAAATTGCTTGAAGTGTCACAAGCTGCAATCTGTTGTTGAAGGGAAATCAAAGAGGAAATTAAATACTTTCATTGTAATTGGGACTGAGCAGTGAGCTAGTTCACTGTAATTGGGACTGAGCACTGAGCAGAACGGGCTGAATACAGCTATGGGGCTGAAGATCTAAGAGTATTAAGAGTGGTCCCCAGAAATATTTTTTCTATTTTTTTTTCTTTTTTTAAAAATTATTTTTTAATTTTTTAAAAAATCTGGTTGGAACAGAATTGCTTCATAAACTGCTGGGCTGGGAATGCAGGCATTTTTTGGTTAAGAAGCAAATGAGAACTACTGCAGAATGTTCTGCTGGGCTTTGAAAAGTATCTTGGAGGCAGGCACTGCAGGTTGACTATGGATACATTTTCCTA